CTTCAAACAGATATGTTGACGTGCCCAGAACGTCGAAGAATTTGAACGTTTCGAACAATCATAAGTTTTAACCATTAAATAACATAAGAATTAAATAACATAAGAAAACGATCGATGGTTTCGCATCTAATAGGGAAGAAAATGTTTAACACGACTAACTTTCTAATGTGGATAAGAGCGTGAGTCTGACTTGTGACAACAAACCACAATTTTAATCAACTCTTAAAGCTGTCGAAGTGTGCAGAGCCGTCAAGAAAGGATGTGTAGTGACCGCGCAAGCAAAGAGTCTCGACTAACAAATCAATCGTCGCGATTCAGTAAAGCCGGATCATAAATAATAATAATAATAAAATACTCTCTCAAGGAGAGCATTACCCAAGAACAGGTCAAGCGTGTTCTTTGCATCAGTTTACGTGCAGTCTTCAGTGCGATCAATCCTTGCTCTTAACGGACTCCACAGTATCATTGCAACATTTTTGCTTTTCTACTTTGTAATTGGTTTAAGTGATTTATAATGAATTAAGCTTCCCTGGAATAAAATCCACTATAAATCAGATGTGAAATGGAGTGTTATAATCCCGTCAACATATGATCGTCGAAAATCGCCAGAAGCGTTTAATGTAGGAGTGTGTTAAAGCGATGAAGCATTATTGCGGTGAAGTGAATAGAATTTGTTATGAAATCATTTAAAAATAGGAAATAAGAAGAAAAATCACACTTATATATATGGCAGTGCATGACACGTAGCAAATGAAATGGAATTAATAAATAATCAAATGCAACAAGATAATATATCGATATTAATGCACGTGTGCAAATAAATAAACAAACAAAAACGATGCGAAAAACGAGATGAGAAATATTTACAAGCATTGTTAATAACTTACCACTACAATAGCAATAACTTGTTGTTGCAGTTTTTCAATTTCCGGATTTGAAGGTACACTAATCTGTTTCAAGTCATGTTCCATGGCCCTGAAATCATAATAATCGGAGAGACGAAGAGCGAATGGGTTTTATTTATTTATTACTTGCTTTTTATCAAACCTTGATGCTTCATTAATTCATTAAAATAGTAAGAGTAAATGTGTAAAGCTATACGTTACCTCAATGTATCCAACGAAATGTTATCCAAGTTTTGTAGAGTGGATTTCATTTCCGTTAAACGCTTAATCACATCAGCACTCGTCAACTTCAAATAAGTGGCCTTTAAATCGTCAATTCTCTGACGTGTATCGTCCATGCATACCTGATCACAAGACTTACTATACTCTTCATATATGTCTTCACTTTTTTGCAAAATATCTTCAAACTCCAGGAACAAGGAGTTACGATCGTGGATCTCCTGAGGACTTTCGAACTTCTTTATTAAATGATCAGCTATATCAAAACAATCTTCCAGCTGATGAGCCAATTTGATGAGGCTTTCCAAGAAAATTTTTGATTGTGTAACGTTTTCTCCCAAAGCATTGTATAAATGCTTCAAGGCGTCAATGCGTTGACTGAGTTGTTTAGGTGATTTAGTAAATTTATCTTCGCATACTTTTCGGCCCATTTTAATAGTGCTTTCGATTTCGGGTTTAATTTCGGATAAGGTCCTATAAATCTGCAAACATTTTTGATATTGAATTTGCACTGTGGAAGGTCCCGCGGAAGCCACATCAAGAACTAAAGTGGAACGTTCGACATTCCGCAACTCAGCGACAGCGCGATTTAATCGCGATTCGTAGGCTGGTTGAGGTGCTGTGCACTTATTCAATTTCAGTTGGCAAGATTTAAAGCGCATTTCGAGTAAATTTAACTGCTCTTGTAAACGGTTAGCAGCTTCGGTTTTACCGTTCCGTTGGTGTTCAGCAATTAGGTCATCAATTTCTCGAAAACATTTTTCATTCTCTTCAAATTCCTGAGATAAGCGCTAAAAAAAAGAAACGTAAAAGCCGCTGCAAACTGTTTCGAATTTTCCTTCAAGTGTGAGAAAAATACCTGAAAATCATCGGGCAAGTCCTCTATTGTTACATCGTTCTCCAGATGTTCACTTAATATCTCGTCAACACGCGTAAGCCAAGCTTCAAATTGTACTATGCATTTTTCTGATTGCTTCGCTTCGCTGACCTCACGTTCCAACACTTCAACCCTCTGTTTAGCTTTATGCTGAAGCTGATACCATCGGTCCGCAATGGCATCAATATCTTGGCGTATAGAGTCGGCCATAAATTCATGTGCAATTAGCTCTTGGCCAATTTCTTGAATTTTTTCCAACCAGTCGTCGGAATGTCCACGCAGAACATTCTCCAAATCCTGATGCAAATAAAAATTAACAAATTATTTTTTAATTATCCTCATTAGTTGTGCAAACTTACGTCTAATTCTTCTATGATTTCCTCAGCATCTGCGTTTTCAGGTGTGGAACGCATTTTGTTTTCCAAACGATCTAGGTAGCCTGTCTCGGAAACCATAAATTTTTTAAATTCGCCAAGCTGTATAGAGATATGCTCCAGTAAAGCTGTCCTTTTATAAACCAACGTTGTCACCTCTGTCCACCGTGCGTTCAGTCGCGTAAGCCTCTTCGCCAACATGTTGTATTTCTGCTGAACTTGTTCGACTCCTTTCGTCTTAAGCTCATCAATCTGTAACAGAACATCTCCTCCCAACTCGTTAAGATCGCGAAAGCTTGCTGTCTCCTTTTCGCAGGTCTCCTTCAAAGCTTGGAATTTGCACTTAATATGAAAAAGTTCGTTCGAATTTTTAATCTCGGCTACACTAGTTTTGGGAGTGTTTGCTTCTAGTTCGTTTAACCATTCGTCGGTTTGGGAAAGTCGCTGAAAGATTTCCTCGGTCTTTGCTTGCACGACCACCCGTTTTTGTAAAGTTTCTTTGAACAAATTTTGTACTTGCTGGAAGAACTCGTTGAGCTCCTTAATTTGAACCACTAAATGATTTCGGTGCTCGGGCTCGGCATCTTTAATAATAATTTCGCTAAAATTGCGAGCACTGATAACATCAATCTCAACTTTTCTCAATTCCATATTATTGTCAATATCGCTTTTACGACTGGTGTTATCATCGCTTAGATTCTCATCTTCTTTAAAATTGCTTTCCAATTTACGTAGGATAGCCATTATAGCGTTATATTCGGCAGTGAAATGGTTTAAGTTCTCAATAGCCGTTGTTTGCTTAATAACGCGTTCGTTTATCTGTTCCGGTATTTTAGCCCATGCCTCGGCAAATTCGGTGCTTACAGCATCCGGTCTACGTACATAAATAAACTCATATTCCAGTTTCAATGCTTCCGATTCGTTATGCAAGCTGTTTAGCTTCTTGAGCTGAAGCTCCATAGGTTCTAGAGCGGATATCAAAACTTTAACCTTATTGGCTCTGTCTAAAAATTCTTCAAGGATTTCTAATCTTTGATTGATTTCGTCCAAACCACCCTTTTCCTCTATTAGCGCTAATACGGCCTTCTTCATATCATTCCAACTTTCGTAAAACAGATTGAAATCTTGTTTCCACTCTATCAGGTCGTCAGCTAAAGTACCTGTAGTTTCTTTAGCAGAAGCTATTTCACAGCTCAAGGATTCCATATGACTTAAGCGTTGTTCCAGATCCTGCTTAGAAGCCGTACCAGCGTGCTGTTGATACCAATCACGTGAATCTGCCAAGACAAGTTTGAAACCTGTTAAGCTGTTGTAGAATTTTTCTTTCTTAAGCATATAAAGGGTTTCCAATCTTTGCCGCTCTATACGTTTTTTTAAATGCTCATAACGCTCTTCGATTTGCTTGATTTGAGAAGCCTCCATGATCATATTTCGACTAACATCTTCTTTCTCACACATTTCGTAAAGATCGCGCAAATCTTTGGCCGATGTTAGCCGATGCGTCAATTCCTGCTCAAGACCATTTAATATGTCTGTTTGATTTCTCAGACTTTGCCTTTGCATGGTAAGCAACCGCTCTTCGCTATCGTCAACAAAACCAAAAGCATCCAATATTTTGCCCTCCAATAAATAAAAATTTTCCGTGTTGCGTAATTTACGTTTCTTACAAGCCACGGAGGTGCCCTCGGCTAAAAGACTATTTTTATCGTCTTCGCTATTTTCATCATTATCGTCTTCTATATCATCTTCTCCAAATTTGATAATCATTTGGTAGTCTAACCAACCATCAGGCCTCACCACGCGACTGTCATCGTAGGAAGCGCGATTACGACCAAATTTGAAACCTTTTTGTTCAATGCGCACCGTTTGTACTTCAACCATTTGTTTCAAGGCATCCAATCGATCTTCGAAATTTTCTAGTTGCATTAGAACGCGTTCACCCTTATCGTCACCTTCCTGCAGGGTGGCAGCTACCATTTGTCGGAGATCTATAAGATAACGTTCCAGCTCCAGCAAATCCTTCGCGCAATAATTTAAATCGTTCATGCGTTTTGTGATAGTACCAAGATCGACCACATCCCTACTTTCCATATTTTTCAAATCCTGTTCACGACTATCCAACCAACGTGATATAGTCTTGTATTGCTGCAACTTTTCTAACCGTAAATCGCTCCATTTCACTACATGGGACCACCTTTCACCCAAAGCAGAGAGTTTATCTTCAAGATCATTGAAATTACCAGACTCGTCATTGACAATAACTACCATATTGCTTAGACTGTCTACCAAATCTTGTTGATTTTGAAGGTCAACTTTTAATTGTCGAGCTTCTTCTAATTGCGCCTGAACTTCATTTAGCGTGGGGCCGATGGCGGTCATATGCGAAATGCGGTCCTCTATATGTGTTAGAAATGTACGCAATTTTTCGATTTGTTGAGTTTGAAAGTTCGCCAATCGCGTAAGAATTTTAGCTTGAACATCCAACGCTTTTAAACGTAACGTTTCCCAGCGTTCATTAAGTAACACCATTTGCTGTCGTACTTCATTTTGATCTTCGACTGAAAGCCCGCTATTCTTTTGCGATTCATTAATCAAATTGGAGCCTTCTTCCAACGCCTCCCCCACGTACTGCTGATGCTCTGTTAGCTTGAGCATGAACTGCTCATTATCGTGAAATTGCATTTTTGCGCTGTGAAAATCTTGAGGTTCCCGTAAATCCTGAGATAAGATTTGCTCGTCTTCTAATAGCAAAGTAAGCACGGCCTCTAGAGCCGTCTGATATGTAGTTATTTCGACAGAGACATTTGTAGCGGTACTATGAGGCCTTGATTTATCGTCTTTAATAAGTTGGCAGCTTTTGGGACGATCCATTTCTATATCCATAATGCTACGCATTGTATCACTATTGTATTTTGTTTTACAACCAGAATCGGTGGCACTTAATGGAGTACTACTAATTTCTGAACTCGCTTCTTCGTTACTGTCCAAAGGAACTTCGTCCAAATCGGTAATATTAATCGGCGCCGACGAAGGATAAACTTCCTGAGCCTTATCGTCAAATAATTCTTCCCTCACACTATCGCTAGCATCCAATGACTTGCGTATCTCCATGGCATGATACAAGCACATAACATACATTTGTATAGACTTTTTATCGGGCTTATGTGTATGTACGTCTTCGGGATCTAAGAGTTTCTCGATTTTGAAATATGTATGAGCCAAGTCAAAAGCGGTTTTCAAACGTGCTAACGGATGTTTAGTTAAAGCTGTCGATAAATCTATGCCGTCTAAGTGAGCATCAAGAATCATTAGAAAAGCTCTACCATCTGACCAGCTGTTGGAGAAATCATGCAAATGTAGACCACGCGGTTCCGTAAATTGACGAGCCCAAGCCAATAAAGATTTTTCCACACCATTACTCGATTGAGTCTTGACTAGATTCTGACCATTAAACTCCAAAGCAATCAACCATATAAGACCCAAAGTTAACTTGGGATTACCACCCACAATATCATCTGAGGAGATATTAACTAATTTTATGCCATGTTCTTGTATAACTTGCAACACTTTATTTAAGTTGTTTATGTGGTGCACGCGCATACGACCTTTTTCGGGTTTCTAAAGCCAAGAAAAAAAAATGTTCCTTTAGAGATCAAGCTATTAAACTTAATCAAATTAAGAAGGTCAGGAGGGAAAGCACAAGAAAGGGAACGAAAACATTTT